AAAAAAAGAAACCGAACGTTAAGTTGAATGCCGCTTTCTCAGCTGCAGCTGAATGATGATTGAATAATAGACGAAATAGACAAATAGGGAAAATGCAGGATTTCAAGATTTTAAACCTGTGTTTAAATCTTAACTCGTCGATTTCGGCGAGTTAAATATTTAACCACAGGGTTAAAGTTCAGGTTTAAATTAAGTCAGAAGTGGCATTTAACCATGAACTTAAAATTTAAGTCAAAACTTTTCGTTCTTAAGTTTTAGACTCAGGGGGACTTGTTTAAAACTATTTAAACATACCTTTTTCTCCAATAGTTTCAATTTCTTGTTTTTATCCATTTTCTTCATTTCCTTCTTCTTTAACCTTCTTCTCTCTTCTTTGATAATTGTATCTATTTTTTCTCCTGAATCTAGTCGGCTCAGCAGGTCATCTATCTGGACAACAATAATATAATTTAATATTTCTGAAGATAAAAAAACTCGTATGTAAACAGAAGGAAGCCAAGAAAAAATTTCAACTCTTAACATTTTTGTTCATGTTAAATTGAAAATATTACTAAAACTTCCCACATAAATAACATCAAAAAAGAAATCCGGCTAGGTAATTTAAAATTTATCTCCATACAATGTTTTTAATTTAATATTTTCACTTATAAAAAGAATCATTTCAATATTCAGATATTCAGGTCAGAGGGAAACGATTTTATAACAATTTTTAAAATAAGGTAATAACAATTGATAATTATTTTTCTAGTTTCGCCCTCTAATATTTGGTGAATACCTATCCTACCTGTGGTTGTACGATGGAGTTGATGGAGTCTAGAGAATCTATTAGCTGTTTGTATTCCAGAATTCTCCCAGTTACTGGATGGGATTTCAGATTTGTTCCCTACAAATACAAATAATATTTTCTTCAAACAATAGTTTCATTCACAAATCTAGAAAGCAATCAACCAGTCATTGGTCAATCTAAACAACAATTAGTTATTTCAATAACTTTTGAAAAAATCTATCCCATGAAACTTCCAGGCAAGCCCGCATAAGTTTAATTTAGAGTAAGAATCTATAGCAAACAATAATAAGGATGAATTTCCCAAAATATCCATCTACCTCTAATCCCTATGCATTCCAGAAAGCTAGAGCATGAATATTGAAGATTGGGGG